AGGAGACCGGTTACGGAATTGAAATTATCGGCGACGAGTTAATGTCCCCTGTGGAGCGTCTGGGTTGGGATTCGAATCCGCGAATGATTCGAGACGATCGCGTTACCGCGAGATGGAGCCTTTTGTGAAACGCTATTCCTTTTGTGTATTATCGTCCGTCCGCAAGGAACGGGGGAGTGAAAACTACCTGGGGTGTTTAAACCTGGGCTGCGGTTGGACTTTTGTGCTTGGGTCTTTTTTTCTTTTTCTCTTTCTTTCTTTCTTTCTTTTCTTCTCTTCTTTTTTTATTTATTCAATGGAGGGCTGATCGTTTCGATGTAAACGCGGCGTTTGAATCCAGGGCCTGATTGAATGGATTTTCTTTGGGCTCGTACCTCGAATCGCTCGAGAGAGAGAGTTGATAATACGGTAATGGTATTACAATTTGTAATGTGATATTAAAATGGCATTAATGTACCGTGACTGCTGCGCCGAGGGTGGCCAGCGATGATGGAATTAATATTTTAATGTTTGAATTAAATAATCATATTCGTAGAAAATTCGGGGGTGGCAATTATGTAATAAATAATAAGTGTATTAAATTATTCTTTTGATAAAAAGAAGTTCTCGTACGTACGTATTCTTTTATTTTATAACACCGTTTTGTTAACAGAATTTATTCTGTTAATCTGTTTTCATCTTTTTTTTTAATGCGTCTTTGTTTTTTTCTTTTTTTTTTTTGTAGGATATGGTATTTATGGTTTTTTTCTTTTTTTATATTTGATATTCCACGGTTTCATTATTCATCGTTAGTTAAAAATAATTCTTTTCTAAAAAGTTAATAAAAGACTTCTCGGAAAATATTCATCGAATCAATGAAACGATTCTAGAATAGAAGTTATTGAAAGTAAGTTTCAAAGTTGGAGACCTGTGCTACAATATTACCGAGATCTATAATTGAGACAGAATTCGTATACGGATTAATTTCAAAAAAGTTTTCATAAAATTATACGATTTATTATCCGATTTTTATAAAATGAAAGAATTCTTCTACGTTTTTGAATATTTATATAAAATAAATCTCGGGCAAAGAGAGATGGATTACTCCCATAATTTACAAAATGATTGAAAAATATATTAAAATTTACGAATAATAAATCTCAAGTTACAAAAGAAATTCCTATAAAATATTCATATTTATTTTTAATTTACAATTATCTATTTTATTTAACGGTATCAAAAACAAAAAAATAAAAAAATCGAATAAATATTCATTAATTTAATTAAACTCGCACCATCAATTTTATTTCCCAATATTTCATCCAATTCTATCTTCGAATGTAAATATTCAATAATTCCCGCATAATTTCCACGGCCACCTCATTTTATAAGTATTTATCGCTTTCAATCGCTCGTATATTATGCTATAATCAAATTAAAAGCGTTCTACTAACAAAATCCCGATTAAAAGCTACGGCTCGATTAAGCATCCTCGACGTTTACTAGTCGCCATTATTTTCCAACGCTTACATCGATAACTTCGCAAAGTTCAAACACGGAATACGTTGCCACTGCAAGGCTTCCACAATTTCGGTGCTTCTCTAGCTTCCGTATTCGCTATGCTTCGCTTAACCCCCGGATTCCCAACCTGTGGATAGCAAAAAATGTTTGCTGGAAAGGAGGGATTTGCAATATACTTGATCGAAGATTATCACGATTATTTTATAAGAAATTTCGTAAAGATTTTTTCAAAATTTATTTATTTGCGTCGTACGATATTCTATAATCAATATATATATATTCATTTACTATTTCCGTATTATTTTTACGAATGGAAGAAATTTGGTTATCAAGAAAAACGTAGTCGCAAATTCGTAGATGATTGGCAAACACTGGGTTAAAAACGTTTAAGCACAGGTCCTCGATGCGAAACTCAAATCGTCCGATTGTTAAAAAGCTACCTTAGTATGGTGAAGAGGGGAGAGAAAAAAAAAAAAAAAAAAAAAAAAAAGAGGTAGAAAGCTCGTCTCGGACAAAATCTGCACGTTCAATTCCAGCAAATTTCGCGTACGGTTATTTCCCAGTTATTCCCGATGATGAGTACTCGAACGAGCAACTTTCCCGCTCTGTATTCCCTCGATGCACACGCGCGCGTTCACACACAGCCGCGAGATAATAAAAACGACCGGTCGAATAAAGTTTTTATCGGCTTGTTAATTTTCGTGGCGGCCGCGGCAACGAAGCGCACGCGATTCGCTTTTGAAACTATTCCTACTATCCCGCTTATCATTGTTCCTTTCGCACCGGTATCCCCCCACGAGGGACTAATGTTATTTATTCCGAAGAGCGTGAAAAAAAAAAAAAAAAAAAGGTTGGCACACAAACGCCACTGTTCTCACAAATACGAGCACCCATACGCCCCCTACATCGATACACGGTGTACTACTATACGCCATGGACTAGCCGGACTAGTATCGGTGGGCGGACGAGTAAAATCTGAAACACGAATCGAACGTGCAGGTGTCCGTAAATAAACTCGTTGCATCGAGTTTGTTGCGGCGAACCGTTGGAACGTGAAGAGTGGTTACGCTTTCGCGGCTTGCTCGTCCGCTACAAAGCCTCGGACCCGGAATTTTTATTTCGCCAAACTGTTTAGCCCGATCCCAACGACTCGGCTCGGAGAATATCGTTTACATAATTACCACGGGCCACCACTCCATCTCGTGTGACTCGAACGAACTACATACAATGTAGCCCGTATGGGATAACGAAAATAGGAAAGGTTATTTTAAATCCGACAACTTATGTACATGCTCGATCCATTAAAGGTTATGGGTTTCTATTCAATATTAAAGCGACAGCTTTCGCGGGGATGGAAGAAAGCAAAGAATAGATAAGAATTGTTGGAGATGGAAACGAAGGAAACGGTTAACGGATTGCGACTGAAACATAAGCAATCGTGGGAAAATGCCTTTATCTGGCGAGAAGGGAAAGTATATAGGAAAAGGTAGGCGATCATAGGAAGTTGTGAGTGGTAACTCGAAACTTTTCGCGGACTTAGGGTTGAGCTCTAAGACATTCTTAGTTCGTATATATTTGTCTGTATACATGTGTGTTGAGTTGGCCTGTTGGCATTGGACCAATGACATGTTGTTCGATTCATTTTATAAAGGAAAACAGGCCAGATAGTTTCTACATGGACTGTTTCCAATAGGCGTGATTCGATCGTTGGTGGAAAAAAAAAAAAAAATGATTCGATGTTTAGCATATTGGAGGATGCTTGACGTGCTTCGAATGGATAAAATGGCGGTGGCGTTGGTTATAACCGGCTCGTAATACTTGTATTTTTTTTTTCCTCTTTTTTTTTCTTTTTCTTCTTTTTAGTTAAATAGATTCTTTAAGTATTTAAATATTCGTTGATATTAATATATCAACGAAAGGAAAATGAACATAATAATAATGAAAATATGAAATTTATGAGGAAAAGTTGCATGTGTACTTAATATATTATTTAATAACTCTATAAACGTGCATACCATGATATTGATTTGCTGATGGTAATCAATATTAAGATACCGTTGTGCCGATCCCATTTTCCTTCGTTTACCTTACGATACTATTTTATCATGGTACCAAGATTGCTCATATTCTTACGCGTAATCTCGATTTCTATCTATTTTTCTTACAAATTCTTCTTGCAATTTATAAATCGTAATTTCAATTGTAATTTGAATCAAGACAGGAACGAAGAACGATCTCTCCGTCTCATAAAGCACATATAATTTTATTTCACCAACGGTGTACATTTCGATACAAAAGAAGTTATTATAAGTACAATAAATTGAATAATATCTCTGACACAATTTCACAAGAATAATATTTTCTATACGTTTAAAATCACTTGAGTCTCCATTTTTTTTTCTTTTTTATCTTATTCCGTTTCTCCAGCTTTTGTAACATTTCTTAATTACCTTTTTCATTATTATTTCAAAATCATTTATTATTTCAAAAGCATTTGTATTATCGTTTTCTCCAACGTATTTTTTCTGAATATTCGTATCAAAAGAGCATAATTATGTCACGATCCACAAGCTGTAACGTAATATGCGACACTCGTTAGGAAATTATATTCAGCGGTTAAAAACTATCATTTTTTTTTTTTTGCTTTATAACAACTTCTGTTCGCTTATCTCCAACAACAGGTGCTGCAAATGACCGAGCATGTATTTTAACAAATCTTAAATATTCTTTTAACGTATCCAGCTGTTGCTACAATTTCCATTGGCAATCTTCTTTAATTCGTTGTACTTGAATCTCTTCTTCTTAATTAAATCTGCTGCATATATACAAAATAATTGAAAAAATTTAATTGTTTTTCTATAAATATCTATCTCGCTCGTCTGATCGTCATCGTTTATTTATCTTTCTCTTAAAAAAAAGAAAAAGACGATTTTCACGTTATATCGAGTTTTATTTCATCTCGTTAATTAGTCGAAAATATAGCCTAGCTCTTAGCGAGACTACTTAGGGAAATTACGTGGAAATTATTGAATGGGAAAGTCTAACGAGTTGGGCTGCTTCCCCGGAAAGGCCTGAAAGAAAAATAATGACTCGTTTCGAATTTACGATGTCTACCGTGATTACAAGTTCAGCCGAGTCTCCGCGCTTCGCCAGAGGACAATGGAAGCCTGGGCAAACACTCGTTTCAATTACATACAAACATGTTAGGGCTTGATCGAGCCCAGAGATATTCCGAACTTTTTTCCACTCCTCCTCCCCCCCTCCTCTCCTTTTATTTAGCGCTGCCAGGGCCGTACACCGGCGGCCTTAATCAGTAATTTAAATGAACTTACCGAAACTCGCCCTTGCCCAATCCAATTTCTCTGAAAAATGAACAACGTTGCGAACAACGTTATCAGAAAAATGAGGCGTAGATCGAAAGTGATAAAAGTTGAAGAGGAAGAAAATTTTTTGGCTCGTATTTGTATTAAATCTCCCCTTTTTTTGATATCCCGTTGCAGGGCAGTTCCAGCGAAGGAGGAGTTCATATGGAATGGCATCGCGTGGACCCTCGGCGACGACGACGGTGGCAATCGCGATAGCGATGGCCGTCGCGATGTCAGTGATGACGGCGAGCGGCCTTTGCCCGACTCAGTGCCGTTGCGACGACGAGAGCTTGCGCGCCTCCTGCGCTTACGCCGGCCTCGAGGTCGTCCCGATCCAATTGAACCCGGAGATCACCCACTTGGATCTGTCCAACAATCGCGTGGCCAATATCCACCTGTCGTTCAGCTTCTACGGTAACCTGGTGGCCCTCGATCTAACGTCGAACGCGATCCACACACTGGGCTCGGACAATTTCGTCTTCCAAAAGAACTTGGCCACGTTGAACGTGAGCGGGAACGCGATAAGAAACTTGACCAAGAACTCGTTGCAGGGGTTGGCCTCGTTGAAAGAGTTGAACCTCGCAGGCAACAATATATCCGACATGGACGAGCAAGCGTTCAAGACCACGAGCGAGTTGGAGACGTTGAATCTTAGCGACAACTCGATCACCAGTTTGCCGGAGGGATTGTTGAAGAATCTCCACAAAATCCGCGCCTTGATCCTCAAGGGCAACTCGCTGCTTGAGATCCCCACCGAAAATTTGGCCCTCGCCCCAAGCCTGGAGAACGTGGATCTGTCCGACAATCTGATCCAGGAGCTCGACAGGGACTCGTTGCCCTCGTTGCCCTCCTTAGTTTCGTTGGATCTTGCGAACAACGTTATCAGGAATATCGGTGACGACGCCTTCGACCGGCTACCGGACCTCCTTCACCTAGATCTCTCCGGGAACAATCTCACGTCCGTGCCCACACCCGCTCTCGCCAGGCTCAACGTCCTCTCCGACCTGATACTGAGTCGCAACCCGCTGGCAGCGTTGGACGCGGCCGGATTCCGCAATCTCTACGAGTTGAGGAGCCTCGAGTTGAACGATTGCACCATCATTAGCGTGCACGCGCGCGCCTTCGCCGACAACGTGAACCTGGAACGGATCTCGTTGGACGGTAATCGGGGTCTGAAGGAGCTACCCGCTAGGGTGTTGTACAGCGCGAGATACCTGAAATGGGTCTCGCTACGCCGTTGCAGCCTGTCGACCTTGCAACCGACCCAATTCCCCGTCGACGGCCTCTCCTCCCTCCGCGTGGGCGGCAACCCCCTCGTCTGCAATTGCTCCGTGCACTGGCTGTGGAACGTAATCAGGGCTGAAGAGCGGCGGAACGAGTCCAGGCTCGAGCTCGACACCCACGATATAATCTGCACGGACGAGGAGTTCGCCGGCAAAGCCCTGATCGCCCTTCCCGAGGCCTCGCTTCGGTGCCGGCTCAGCCCCCTCTACCTATCCCTGTCGGCTGCCGGTTGCCTGGCCGCGACGGCGACCATCCTCGCGCTCATAGCACACCTCACGCGGTCCAAGAGGAAGAAGAGGTTGGCGTACGCTGCCCCCAACCGGCCCGAATTCCTCGTCTACGTGGGGAGGAGCAACGACGAGTTGGACAAGAGCGCGGAATCGTACAGCAGGCGGTTGTTGGCGCGGGGGAACGAGGACGGCAGCCCGTACGACGGCAGTCCGGGGGGGAAGTCGGGGCGGAAAGTCGGGGCCCACGATGCGAATATATACGAGACGCCCAGGTACGCGAGGCAATCGAGTGGCAATCGTCGAAACGGCGAAACGGCGACGGCGAGCGAGACGTTCGCGCCGGTGGCAGGGCAGACGGGGGCAGAGGGTGTGTACGCGGTCGCCGACGTGACCGATCTCCACGGCGACGAGCCACCGGAAGCGCTGTCCCTGTACAGGATGCAGAACGTTGTTCCAACCGCGCCGACGACAACCAACGTCCGTCGAACCCTCGACTACGCTTACGACTACGATTACGACTACGAGCCACCGCTCCCGCAGAAGCCTCACGTGGTGTTCGTTTGAGGGAAATGAGGATTCCTGGCCGCGAGAAATTTCCAGGAACCCCGGAAAGGGGTTCAACGCCTCCACCCTCCCCTCTCCCTATGCGACGAGAGAGTCGGCTTCGTTCGAGGGGATACACTTTGCTTCCCCTCTCATCCTGGATCCTGGAGAAGATTCGGATCAGGGGGAAATGGATTAGCCGGTGTTAAAGATCTGTCTATGTGTTGTCTGGGGAGATACGAGAGAGAGGAGATTTATTCTAACCGATTGACTTGATTCTTAACTCTCTCTGTCTCTCATTTCGAGACGAAGCGGACGAGTAAAGTCGGTTCAAATTATTCGACAATGCGTATTGTAATCGTACCGGATGAACGGGGTGCAGAGGAGGAGGAGGAGGAGGAGGAGGGTACTCGTCCGTCGTCTGAGGGTAAAAGCTGGGAAGGGGAGGGAGGGGGACAAATGGTGGACTGGAACTCGTGGTGGACGAGGTTCAAAATGAAATGTCTTCCGAGAGATAGTCGCGCCGCCGGTGAACAGAACAGAATGCATTTTCGCTGGGGGAACGCAATCTGACTCGGAATGTAAATTGTACGGCGCATAAACGTGGCCACCGTTGTATTACACGGAGGGGGGACGGCGTGGGGGAGTGGGTGGAAGGGCTACGGGGAACGTATTTATTTTCACGGATTGCGTCGGATTCCGTTGGTTCAGTGCAAATGCTGGGCGCCGTGTTCCGAGGCGGGCGTTCATTTCGCATTTAAACGTAGTGACAAATCAAATCAAAGCAGCGTCTCGTTAGTCCGTTTAAACCCTCCTAGGCTAGCGTCCCAAGATTACTCTTCCCACTACTCTGCTCTCACTATCCGCCCCTTTCTTTGTTTCACCATCCTCTTTCACTCTCCCTTCGCCTATTCATCCTTTTGCTTTGATATAAACAACCGGTTACGTTTCTTTTATCCAACATAAATTTCCCATGGAACGAATAAAATTTAAAATAAAGAAAGGTAAAGTAAAGAAAAAAATTTAAACGAAATTTAAAATAAATTTTTTTCTTTTACCTTTCTTCGCGCGTATATACCTTTTTTTTTTTTTTTTTTTTTCCTTTGAAAATTCTTCGCATCGTGGAAGAAATCGATGACGTCCATCCTGGTGTCGTCGTTTCTTCTTACGAAGTCGTATCGGTAACCGGTTGAAAAATATTTAATCATATCGCCCGTTTATTTTCGTTCGCGTTTCTCTTCACACGCACGCACACGTACACACACATATACACACGTTTTTAGACCGATTTTAGGCCGAGGCAAAAGATTTTCGCGAAACGGTTGGCTACCTCAAGCACAAGGATTTACATAAGCGAGAAACGAGACGGGAAAATGAAGGTGGCGCGGTATCGTCAAATCCGCGCCCCCATTGTCCTTCCGTCTGTGTTTCTTTACCTTTCTCTCTCTCTCTCTTTCTCTTTCTCTGTCTTTATACCTTTATATAAACCGTACACACACTTACAGATACTTATATATATATACATACATACGTACACATATATATATATATACATGCGCGCGCGCGCGAGTAAAAGCGCATAAGTATAAAAATACACACCACCGAAGGGAGCAAAAGACACAAAGTTTAGAATTCGTAAAAAAAAACTGGACGGTTCCTTTTTCTTTTCCTGCTTGAACCCGCTGAAGTCGAGTGAAGAGGACCGTTTTCAGAAGGAGATAAAAAGAAGGGAAAAAAGGAGGAGGAGAAGAAGAAGAAGAAGAAGAAGAAGAAGAAGAAGAAGGAGAAGAAGAAGATTGTAAATTGAAGCAATAATAGACGCGACCTTTACCGTTAGGAAACACATTACGAACACACACACACACACACCGAGGTATATTTAGAGACGAGATTTCACGTTTATACAAACTTAAGCGTATTATACATATATACATATATATATATATACATAAATAATATATATATTTATTTATTAATTTATGATGTTAAGTTTGGAAAGATGTTACGTTTTGAATACGAGATAAAAGAAAAAAAGAAAAAAAGAAAAATATACTGCATTAGCAAGAACGTGCGTACGTATCCATTACGAAGCATCATCGGAAGGGGATGGATCGGACTCTCGAGTTCTCGAGTTCGCGATTTCGATCATAATTGGGCATTTTGTAACGAAGATTAAGAATTAAGAAATTTTTAATTCTCTTCTCAACGAATCAAAATGGCGTACACACATGGAGGGCCATTTCTTCATTCACGAGAAATAATTTATTTATTAATTAATCGTGTCCAGCGATCTATGAACGAATGTGCTCCTGCACGAGCTCTCCGCGGAAACGAGAAAAATTGTCACCGATCATTTCACGAAACGATCGCGCGAACTCGATGGTTCTACGGTCCCACATCCATAACACGGCCATGTGCGTTTTGGTGCCGTCGTGGTGCCGCGTCCTCGAAACGCAACGCGTCTACAAATTTAATGGAATATCGAATTCCGACTGATTAAAGCCTCCCGACGCGATGGGCTCCTCGAGAGGAAGTTCGCCAAGTTAAATATTCAATTCGCCACGGTAAACCTTCCCCTCGGGCTCTCGCTCGCTCGAAAAATCTGGGAATCGATGTAGGATTTCGGGAATAGTAATTCCAATCGAGGCAATAATAGCCTCTCGATTCGTGAAACGGGGTCAAGTTATTATTCCTTAAAAAATATTAAATCTGATCTGGGAGAGAGCAATCTTTCCATCCAATCTTCGAAATCATCTTTTGAAAATTAGCTTGAAATATTAAATCAAGGAAGATGAGGTTAAATTGGAACGATTGTTCAGGATCTGTTTAATTATCGGATCGTTGAGGATGAAATGGTCGAAATATTAAGAGAACAAGATTATTCGATTATTTTGGGAGTATTATTGTTCGAATAATAATTTTATAAGAATGATGCATATTAATGCAGAATAACGTTTCAAATATTCCTCGGAAAACTGATTTCAAGTTTTCGACGAGTAGTATAAATGATTTTTTATCAGACCGGCATCGATCGGCGAGTTAAATTCTCGGGCGATATAACTTCCACGTAAAATAAACTCGCATAAAACTTGAAAATCCCCTAACACACAAGTTCCACCGCACTACGAAACGAAATTCAAAAGCAAGAGAGCTGCCAACGGTAAATAATAACCGTATTCCATTGAAGTTTCGCTCAAAGCTTTAGCTTTATACAGGGTGCACCAGGTTTCTCCCTGCAAAATGGTGCCAGCATATTCCATGTGTAAAAACAAGAAGAAATATCGTATAAACATGGGCTCATGAATGTTTTATTAAAAAGTTGTAAGAAATCATTTTCGTAAAAAAAATTTTTATTTCATTACGCAGGAATAAACAATTATTTAGAGATTGATTGATTAATGCATATTTTCTCTCATTTTCCATAAATATTTACCATTTTTTTTTCGAAATAAAGAAATGAGAGTGAAAAAGCGCTGAAGCTTTCTTTTTCATAACAGTCAATTTTGATAATAAAAACGAGAAAGTTTTACAAGAAAGAAAATTTAATAAATCCTGATTTATCCGAAAAAGAAGTTGACAAATTATAAAAAAAGATCTACAATGTATGATTTAGTAGCAATATTATTAATTAGCGAATTATCGTGCAAAGAGGAATTTTGCAATTTAATGCAATTTTACAACAAAAAAAAAAAACTTGGTACACCCTGCATACCCAACAATTCCAAGGATGTACAAATGGACGAAACGCGATCCGGAAAAGGTTCAAATAGAATTTACGCCTGGGGCTAGCTCGTGGCGGTCGAATTTGAACAACTCCCTTGATACCAGCCCGTTTAATTTACGCCGGGCAATCAAATCGTCCCGATAGCCGGCAGCCAACACAAAGGATCGAAACGGCCCGAGAACAACTCGATGAAATATTCGTGCCACCTGTAAGAACGCGCGTTCCCAAAGCGATGAAATCGGTGAGTGCGCGATCGACGCCCCATCTCGCGTACTTTTTTAACACTTTTCGGTGATCGGCCGGCGGACAGCTGTGAAAAATTAATTTTCCCCCAAGCAACTGATCCCTGACCAGTGAACCGAGAGTGAAAACATTCACCTTCGAATCATGATACGACCCCAGTGACCCAGAAGCCGTGAATCTCTCGTTCAACCTTCGTCCGACCGTCCATCACTGGGAACTTTCCAAGTTTCGATAGGGAAGTTGGCGATCCAACGGTTGTCACGGCCAAACCGGAAACTTATTTGCAACGATAGGGTCCTCCTCGCAGAGATTTCATTACGAGACGATTTTTCAATTTCCATTTCATTTTTCACGCTCGTGGAATGGAACTCGGAAGTGTCTAAAGTTTTATAATCCGAACGAGGAGATTATAGATGTCTGATAATATTCCAAAGTTTTGACGTGTACGAGAGAATAAAAAGTGCTCGAGGTGAGGTTAAGTTGGAAAATTCGAGTTGAAGAGCGGATTGGTCGGATAACTTTTGCATACGATTTTTACGGAGAATTGTCGGGCAGTTGTCGTTTATCAAATATCTGACAATCTCGATACGAATAGAATTCCCAACTGTTGTTAATTGTTTCGAAACCAATTTGAAAAACCGTGCGACACGTAGCTTTTATCGTTAGCCCCATTTCGGCCATCCTGCAACGACCTCCAGATTAATTCGATTCGGATTGAGCGAGAGTTCGAGAGAAAGAGGAAACCAGGGTAAGGAAAATGAGTTCGAGAATCCAACAGAAGGGAAGTTTCGAGCGAAGGAAATCTAGATTAAAGAGCAATTACGAAAAAAGGAAAAAAAAAACTCCGAACGAAAAGAAAGGGAAATCGAAAATAAAAAGGACGAATGGGAGAAAAACCGAGCCACCCTCTGACAGGCCAAAATATTAGAGTTGGAAGCGTTTCATTGGACCCACTTTCCCGCTCGGTTAGCCAAGATTCCACGGTGGCACTTCGCCCGACTCGTTAGTCATGGTAGTTAGTCATGCTACATGGATCTCGTCCCAAGGAACGAAGAAGAAGGAAGATGAAAAAGAGGGAGACTGCTCGAGCAGTCGCACAGCCGATGGATGGAGAAACGAAAACGGCTTCCCTCTGTTCCCATTTCCTTCTACGTGCCTGTCAGTATCCCTTTCTATCTTCCTTTTTTTTTTTTCCTATATCCTTCCCTTTTTTACTCTTTCCGGTTTCGTGTCACAGGGATTTCGATGCGTTCGAGGCGCGCTCCATCGACGGCTATTTTTGTATGTACATATAGACACAAAAACTGCGCAACGTCGAATGCACATCACCGTTCCTCAGGCGCGTAAACGTCCGTCTTCAGT